TATAGCTTTGAAATAAGATGGGAAATACATTAGCTGCTTTATATGCAGTATGGTTAAAAATTTACATTTACAGCAGTGATGTAGGGAGAGCGGGTTAAACAGAAAGCTTTTAACTGTCCTCCTTATGTCTAATAAATAATGCTTAATGCCAGTTTATATTTTACTCTTGTTTTTAACTATGCCTGTCTTGTCCTTAGTGATGAAAAAATATTTTAGCTTTTCTTTTCTGAACCTGCTTTTTACTTAGAACTAATGTTACCTTGCTCTTTTTCTGCTTCCCGCTTGTCAGGATTTGGTGGGCTTGAAACTACAAACTCCACTGCCAGTGGGTTTAATTTTGGGGGTTTCGGATTAACTGCTAATCCTGCAGTGAATTTTAATATTGGGAATTTCGGTGTTTCCACTACCTCAACTCCACCATTCAATTTTGGTAACAGTCTGGCAAGTGCAGGTAGATAACGCATAAGTCCTTGTTCTGTAATAAATGTTAATAGCAGGGGTCCAAGAATTACCTGAAGACTGGAGGTAAAAGCTCTGAGAGTGGAATGGCTTTGAAAACTATAGGCTTGTAGGGGTTTTTGCCTCTTAAATTCTCAAGAAATACCCGTTGTCAAGAAGTACCTGTTGCCAGAAAATAACCACGTGCCAAATACTCAGTCTCTGAAATGGAAATGAATTGTGGTAACCTGCCAGTCTGACCCAGTCTAAAATTGAGCCTTGATTACCTAGCAAAAGAGCAACGACAATTCTCTGTTGAGATATCACCAACAATTACAGAGCTGGTCCCTAACACCACATTTCCCCACCTGAGATTCTTGGACTACTGCCGTCATGTTTGTCATCTTCCCCCGTGTCTCCTCATTGGTCTTCTGTCGGCTGTCATGAACGCACTACACCTCAATAGTTTCTGTGGAGAAACAAATTTTATACGATCAGCACAAAATGAACAGCCCTCGCTGTCATCTCTGTTTCCTAAACGCCCTTCTGCACCCATCCCAGGCGCTCCTTGCGAGGTTCTCCGCGCTTCTGGGAGGGTCTCCTGCGTGATGTCTGTGCTGGGTATCGATTAAGAAAACCATTCACGGCCCCCCATTTAGATCCATCCGTTCTGAGCGATCGGCTGATGATAATTTCAAGTTAAATCTTTTCCATTCCATATAAAAATGATGAGCTGTTTGGATTTCTAAGGCTTTTACTCTTGTAGAATCAGCCCACGGGGTCTGGTTGCCGCTGCTCGTATAGGAGTTATATTCATTCCACAGTGTCATCGCTCCCTGTGTTAGCACACTCTTACCTGTTCCATGCACTCGAGGGATCTGGTTTTGGTTTTATTTGGTGTGAATGCTATTGGACTGTATTTCTTTACCTGAATTTGAACTGCTCCAGAAGACAACTTGGATATTTAATTTTGTTTAGCAATTTGCACTCTTAGATCCTTTTTTAAGAAAGGAAGACTAAACAGTTGTGAGTACAAAACTACCTAAAAATTGTGTCATCTGACAGTACTCCAGCTAGGGTTTCACTCTCGGTGGTAGGACTGAAACTTGCATGTTGCGGAGAACAACTTTATATATCCACTCTCATTAAGATGTTTGTTTAATGAAAATAAAATGTGATTGCACGTCAGCTTTGGTTTAAGCTTTTTATTTGGTGTGTATACTAGAGGATTGTAAGTGTAGTAGGTCTTAAGAGACTTTTTTTTCCCCTTTTTTTGCTATTGACATGTGAATTAGCAGTCACAGTGTCTTTTTGACAAATCTTTTGTGGCAAACTGTCTTTCTTTATTTGAATGCATGTAAAACCAGTTTGGGGCACCTCTTCTAAGGGTGCAAACGTGAAGATGGGTTTCTGTGGAGCTCAGGCCCTCACTCAGGTCTCCACCTGCTAACCAGTGACTGGTTTGCCTGAAAGTTTGAGGAAGGCTGATTGCTTTTGCATTCTTCTTCCTCTGATAGTGGTTGAACCTCAGAAAGAGATTTAATGGGGATGATGATAGGGAAAGTAGGCTTAAAAAAAAAAGACCTCGTAGAGTTTTACCTGTGTGTGGCAGGAAATTGTTCCTGTGACAGCATTCCCATGTAGGCACAGCAATTGTGTGCACCCCAGCCTCAGGCTTTACCTGATTGGTTTCTGGTTTTGCTCTGAAGAGGTTAAGAGTGTTTAAAAAGCTCACTAAACATTAGATCATTTATTAAACACACAGCAACAACTTGGACTAGAAGTATTCCTGAGAGTGAATCTCAGAAACAGTATTACTAGTCATGTCTGTCACTAAGGAAAGCATATCCTGCTGGTAGAGGAGCAGGATGTTAGTTAACTGCTGCTTTTTTATTTGCTTTCTTGACACACCATAGATGTATTGGCAGTTTGGATCATCTTTTCTCCCCCATTTCCTCAGAGAATGAACTCAATACCCATGATCCATGTGAACTACGTGCTTGTAACATAATACATCCATCTGTCAGCACCTCTTCATGACACCCCTCGAAGCGTGCGGTTTACTGTCACGTTATGCACAGCTGCTGCTCACAACGTGCCATCTGCCTTACTTGCAAACTTTGTTTGTTAGGTGCATTCGGAGGATTCGGGACAACTACCACCACTGCGGCTCCAGCATTTAGTTTTTCTGCTCCTACCAACACAGGCACCAGTGGTAAGAGAGCACAAGTCTGAAAGTATTTGCTTTAGAGTGAACAGCAGGGCATCAGCCCTTCACAATGATGTTTTGCATTTCACAGGTACTGTTCTCCTTTTTTTTTCCTCAACAATTCTTTGTTTATTTCCCCAGGGCTCTTTGGCACTACCCAGAATAAAGGCTTTGGATTTGGTACTAGTTTTGGCACAGGAACTGGAACTGGCTTGGGTAGTGGGTTGGGAACTGGGCTGGGCTTTGGAGGCTTCGGTACCCAGCAGCAACAGACCAGTAAGTATGGCCTGCTCTTGATTTCATGTAAGCCCTTCCTTAGCAACGAAAGCATAAGGCTGCAGTAAGGAGTGGGACAGAATTGCGTTCTCAAAGGAGGCTGTTACACTTAACTCTTGATTGATGGAGATGGCTCAGAAATCTGGCTTTTGACATGCCTACATTTGCAGCCCTTGCCTTTTTCTTAAACTAGAGCTCAAGCAAGTTGCTGAGCTTGTATTCACCCCTTTGGTTTGGCAGCAGTGGAAAGAGTAGTTGTAGAGTTGATGTTGGCAGTCATGGCATTACTAGAAAGGGGAGAAAAACAGCGTTGAATTTAGTTTAAATGTTTAGTTGGATAGTGACCAGCTCCAGGCTCTGAGTACACTGAATTTATAATAGCAAAACTACCCTTCAGATTCAGATCTCAAAGGTCCCAGATGATGCTATGGGTGAATGTGGATGTCTTGTTTAAAGAAAAAATAATAAATCTTTTATTCTGATTCAGCATTCAGGAACTTCTGTTGCTAATGAAGATTGGGTGTAAAAAGGCACTTTTAAAAAACATTATCTGATACAAAATTGTGTATTTATTTTGCTTCTCAAAATGTGACAAGACGTGATACCAATGACACACGGATGGTACATGTTAGCAAGTGAATCTCTCGTGGTTGCTAAAGGAGTTAATGTGTTTTTCTTCATCCAACACAGCATTAGGAAGTGGCTTGTTCAGCCAACCTGCTCAGACACCCGCCCAGTCAAACCAGCTCATCAATACAGCCAGTGCCCTCTCCGCTCCCACACTCCTAGGAGATGAGAGAGACGCTATTTTGGCAAAATGGAACCAGCTCCAGGCCTTCTGGGGAACAGGCAAAGGGTACTTCAACAACAACATCGCCCCCGTGGAGTTCACTCAAGAAAACCCCTTTTGCAGGTTTAAGGTGGGGAATTGTTCAGCTGCCACAAACAGTTCTGAAGCAGTTACTCTGCTTGCTCAGTTGCTCAAGAATGTTAAATCAGATTTTCTTACTGTTAAGAGTATTCTGAAACAGTATTCTGTGATAGCATTCAGACTAGGGCGTGTGTGGTTGAAGCAGATGTCTGGAAATGAGTATTAATGTGTATTTGTTTAGGTTACAGAATTAGAGAAACTATTTAAAATAACCTCCACATCTGAAAGGAACGAATGTTAACATCTGGAATAAGAACTTCAGGGTCTTTCTTCATCGCTTTGCCTACATTAGAAAAACCCTCTCTGAACCTGGCCCTTGGATGCCATTTTAAATACACCATCCTTCAGCTTTCTTCTGTCTTTATCCTTGCCAGTGCTAAAGCTGACTCCATTCCTTCTATGGTATCGTCAGCAGTTCCCAATCTCGCTTCTCGTGTCAACAAATAATATGTAGCTCTTCATCCTCCGCAAATCTCACGCCTGCTGACTTTCTTGCTAAGCTTCAGACTTCAGAGTGGATTTGGGTCAGGCGTGGTGATACCCTCCTTTCCCAAGCTGATTCTTTTGAAGTGCAAACTTTCTAACCTGAATGTAGGTTAATACCTAATTAAGACTAATTTTGATTATGCACATTATGACACTTTTATAAAATCTTGGCAGCAACTGAGTGCCTGCCTAAGAAATGTTTGGTTTCTGTTACCAAACAGAACTTTTTTAGGTGTTATCTTGAATATTGTGGTGGTTTAAAACCACAGGTGCTTGCTCGCCACCACCACTCCCCTCGCCACCACCGGTGAGATGGGGAGAAAACACATAACAAAGGGCTCGTGGGTCAGAATGAGGACAGGGAGGGCTCACTCACCAATTACAGTCATGGGCAAAACACACTTGACTTGGGGAAGAAAAATTCAATTTAATTGGTTAACAATCAAAAAATTCCTAAGAATAAGTTACGCAATGCAAAATGGGTTATTTTCAAGTCTCATTTACCAAAAGGAGGAGTTTTCCTTTCAAGTTAGGCAGTGCCACGTACTAGGTTTGCTTTTGTCCCTGTGGCTTGATGGCATTATGAATGTCCCTATTACTAATGCCATTATAAATTCACATGCCTTAAGTGAAATACTCCAAAGTTCAGTGCATGCTAGCAGTGATGGATGCCTATGAAAAACAGTGGAGAAGTTGGTAGCACAGGTATCAGAACAAAGTGTCTTAAGCTAATTTGGTTTATTGCCTCTGTAAGCATCAGATGTCTGATAAGAATGAAGCATTACCTGAAGGGTTTCACAGGTGTTCAGGGAATCCACTTGTACACAATTCCAGCTCTAGAGCAAATGGGAAGCATGCAGAACCAAGGCAAGTGTGCTTCTAAGGTATGTGAAGTAAACAAAGTAAAAAATCTCTTACTGTTTGCATATACTTAATTTCACAAGGAAATTGTGAAATATTTTTTAATTAATTTTAAACCCAAATACCGGAGGAGTCTTGTATGAGTGGTCTTAGCACAACTTTGCACATGATTAGATTTCATCTTCTGTGTACAGGCAAGTCTTTCCCCAGAGTGTGGGCCTCTTTCACAGCTATGAAGGTGAAAGGGATGCACTGAAAGAACAGCAGGTGATTGTTTGAAAGTTGGTTTGTTTGGGGTTTTTTTTGGTGTAGGGTTTTTTTTGAGGCCTCAGAAAGATGGCTTAAATCATGTGCAAGTCAGCCACGTGCAGTGTCAGGGCCTTAAAAAGCACCTGCTGTCACCAGTGATACGTTGGTGCCACAGTTCATAGGCAAGATGAGCTGAAAAGTGCCCATCCACTTGTGCTTGTCATGAGTTAACAGATCAGGTCTTTCTTACACATCATGTGGAGTTTACACAGGAGTCAAGAGGGGATTTTTTTTGAGACGGGGAAAACGTGCTGTTACTTAGCACAGATGGCAACAAGTGTCCCTGTATTAGCTGATGATGTTGAGTTAAACATCTCGCCTTCCTACAGCTTTGTCACAGCAAGGATAGAGACAACATTAAACTTCAGAAGCAACTGTACAAAGAGAACATGACATTTGTTAACTGTACAAAGAGAACATGACATTTGTTAACATAAGGAAAGTTGGCTCTCCCAAATTCTGGTGAGATGACCTTACCTGATGCATGTCTTAGCTAGTAGGGATGTTTGTGTCCATGCTCTGATTTGTACTGCCAGGCAAAATCTGTCCAGATCTACAGAAGGAAAATGCTAAGAAGTCCATACAGGTTTATGGTTGGCTTATCTTTCAATTAGGTTATATCAGTAACTGTTTTTCATTCAGAGATCTGAAAATGTGATGTTGTAAAACTCTTCTCGAACCGTAGGAATTTTTCTGTATTCAAGTCTGGTCCTCTGGTTCCTTTTGTAACTTAGAAAAACTGTAAATTTGTAAAATAGTCCAGACTGGTATCAGCATGGGGAATGGATACTTACAAACTTTTTGTAAAAATCTGAACTGCTTCAGAAGCTGCTCTACTGGTGGCCTTGTGAGATAACATTTTAAAGGGGGATTGATTTTTATGTTTCAGTATCTCTGAATACATTATAACTTAAACTTTGAACCAGTTGCTCTAAAAAGTGAGCAGATTAGCAGCTCACCACCTTCATGCCACATAGCTTTTGCTAAGTGAAATATCCACAGCTTTTGTTGTTTATTTGCAGGCTGTGGGTTACAGTTTAATGCCCAACAACAAAGATGAAGATGGCTTCGTGGTCTTGGTCTTCAACAGAAAAGAAACAGATATTCGAAGCCAGCAGCAGCAGCTCGTAGAATCACTACACAAAATTCTGGGAGGAAACCAGACCCTCACTGTCAACGTGGAAGGTGTTAGAACGATGCCAGATGACCAGTATGGGAACTTTGATGCAGTTTTGCCTTTTTATTCAGTATTGCATGTTATAAGGGGTTGATGCTCACTCTACTTTGCCTCTCTTTCTCCTTGATTTTATATGTGTTCATCCTGAGTTTGATTTCGTGTCTCTCATTCCTTCGTGTTGCTTTTTCTTAAGGCTTTAAGTCCAGTATCTTTCCTGTGTATGTTACTGGCTTTTGCTGGAGTGCCCAGCTGAGGACCTCAGCTCAGGAAATAGGCTTCTCCAGACCCTGCTCAGCAGCAAGAATTGGAGATGAGGATGCTAACCATGAGGGTGGGATAAGTACTTAGTATTTTAGGAGCTCTGTGGTGTTCTTCACTTGGTCACCTGAAAGGGCATTGGGGTGTATAGCAGTAGGGTGTTTGCAGTGTTTCATATGGCAGATGTTTGTTTCCGTGGGAAAGCTGTTCCAAGGCTAGCTGAGCAGGCTTGTTCTGCATGTGTTATGTTAGAGGGCTGCCTGCTTTGACTTGTTTGGGGGCCTCAGACTAGTCTGCCTGAAGTATTTCAGCACCCTGATGTTTCTGCTTCTTTTTACTTTCCCACAGTTTGGTCATTCTTTTTTAAAGACCAAAGATTTGAGGTTATTCTTAGTGTAGTACAAATCACAGAATCACAGGATGTCGGGGATTGGAAGGGACCTCGAAAGATCATCCAGTCCAATCCCCCTGCCAAAGCAGGAACCTAAATGAGATCACACAGGAAGGCGTCCGGGCTGGTCTTGAATGTCTCCAGAGAAGGAGACTCCACCCCCTCCCTGGGCAGCCTGTCCCAGGGCTCTGTCACCCTCACTGGAAAGAAGTTTCTTCTCAAGTTTAAGTGGAACCTCCTGTGTTCCAGCTCACACCCACTGCCCCTTGTCCTACCATTGGGCATCACTGAGAAGAGCCTGGCTCCATCCTCCTGACATTCACCCTGAACATATTTATAAACATTAATGAGGTCACCCCTCAGCCTCCTCTTCTCCAAGCTAAAGAGCCCCAGCTCCCTCAGCCTTTCCTCAGCAGGGAGATGCTCCACTCCCTTCATCATCTTGGTGGCTCTGTGCTGGACTCTCTCCAGCAGTTCCCTGTCCTTATCCCTGAATATCACCATATAATACAGTTGTTAAAACTGGGAGGGGAAATGTAATTTTGCAGGGTATTTACAGCTTTCCTCTTTCTGCCTTGCAGTGTCAAACCCTACATTTTCTGGTACTTTATATCTCAGTTAGCTAAAGGAAGTTAACAGTCAGCTGGGAGAAGCGGTAACTTTGGTTTAGAATTGTCCTTTCTTGTGTTAGTTTCTGTACAGTGGTTGCCTTTTTCTGACAGTACACATTTTGCCTTGCTCAGGACAGAAGTGATCATCTATGTCGTGGAGCGCTCGCCCAACGGTACTTCGAGGAGAGTTCCTGCAACGACCCTCTACGCCCACTTTGAACAAGCCAACATAAAATCATCCCTGCAGCAGCTGGGGGTCAGCCTCTCCATGGCCAGAACAGAGCTTTCCCCAGCACAAGTCAAACAGCTCCTGCAGAACCCTCCTGCTGGTACGTGGCTTTTTTGGGTCTCTTGGGGAAAATGCAGGTGTCAGCCCATTGGAAAACGCTTTTTAAAACTACAAGAGTTGCCAAGGCATTCTGGCATACTGACGTAGTGGTTTTAATTACAGCTGCTTTTCCCTGTGTACTCCACCAAGATAGTTATGATTTATCAGTAATATGCCACACAACACCATACTGTGTGATTTAGCCATCATAAATCACTTCAACTTGTCCAAATAAGGAAAAAAAAGTTAAATATGAGAATAATCGTGTCCTGTATTGACTTCCTTGTTTTTGAGGGGGGTCGCTTAGCCTGTATACGTGGCCACAGGTAGTACTTGTACAGCTTTGTTTTAACTGTAGCTAAACTTGCTTTGTTAGTTTATTGTAGCTTATTCTCTAAGTCTATACAGTATAGCCTGTAGCACTTGTACTGAACTCCCTGCAGTGGATCAGGGAAAGCAGCCTGTGGTTTCCAGCAGACAATATGTAGCATGTTCAGTAAGACCGCAGCATTTAAAAACACAGCAAAGGTTGTGATATCTGGATTGCCAGAAGAACTTGGGCTGCTCTTGCAGAAAAATTAGAGACAAGCAGCAGTGTCTTCCAGCTGCTGCGGTGTCGGGGAGAAGTAGTTGCTCTGTGCACAAGCAAGTTGGCTTTCTTGAATATCAGAGGGGTATCATAAGGCCTGTGTGACAGTGGTTGGGCACAGCTTGTTAGTCCGTGGCTGAGAAGGAGGCTGAGTTTATGGGCTGGCTAATCAAGCAGTAAGATGTGCAAGAAGAGGTGTTAAAGGTGAGCTCTAGAGAAGCAGTCACACCAGGAGAGATGACTTTTGGTATAAAAGGTAGTGTGTTTCATCAGGAATGACCTGGAGTGTGGTGCAGTGAAGAATGTTGTGGTAGCTGGTTGTTCTGGTCTCCTCTTCAAGCTGGCCTGAAATTCTTAAATTACCAGTGATTTTTTTTACTTTTTGCATGTCTCTCTGGTCAGAAACTCAACTGTTTCCCTTTCAGTATCGTCTTGGTTTTTTCCTACATGCCTAGGTATGTGCATTATATGCCCTGATCTGTGGTGAGATTTGAAGAAGGTGATAACTTGGGTCATGATGTTGATGCTGATCATGTTGCAGGATGATTAGGCTGCTTTTATTTTTATGTATTTACCCAATGAAGCAGTTCGTGACAAAATAAGCAACTGTTCTGTCAACAGATAAAATCCTGAAGCACATCCTGTTAGGAACCATGATAATTCCTACTTGGATTATTTTGTCAATTGGTTTGGTACTTTGATCATTTAATTACTGATTTTTAATTTTTTTTTCTTTTTTTTAAAATACCATAAGCAACTTGAAGAGGAAAGATGACCCCAGTGTGACATACAGTGGAAACAATGGGAGTTTTTCCCTTTTGAGTATGGATTGTCCAATTTGATCACCTATGGGTTGTTCTTTCCCATTCCTTCAAGCCAGTAGAAGTACTTGGCAGCCTTTTGGACTGAACCTGCTGCCACAGTCCAGGAACAAGACTTTTAAGAACTACCCTTGTTTAATTAACCTTAAATCATATAACAGTCGTTCAGGTCAGCATAGTTCATAGGGTTTGGGTATTTTCTAGTATTTGTCATGTTAAACAGCTGTAAGTTGTGATATCTCTTCACATCTCTCCATACTAAAAATGTGTTTGTTTGGGTTTTTTTTAAGGTGTTGATCCTATTATATGGGAACAAGCCAAAGTTGATAATCCTGATCCTGACAAGTAAGTCTAATAGTTCATCCAACTATTACACAGAGACTTGGAAAGGAGAGAAATCCATAATCTAGTATAGTACCCTTCAGGTAACTTGTAAGAAACTTACTAGTGAATAACTTGTCAAGTACTGAAGCAGTGAGGGTTACTAGAAATGCCTGTCTAATCCCTGTACCCTTTAGGCACTTAAGAGTTGTCAGGTTCAAGAGCCTTCCTTGCATGATTTCGAGTTGTGGTGTGGTTACAAATAACTTAGGCTGATTTCTTTATGAAAAAGGAACAGGTTGTTAAGAATAGTGAGGACAGTAGAACTTAGTGCAACAAGATATGTTTATATATTAACTTAATTAATAATAGGTCAAGATCAACTGTAAGTTCAGGTTATATTCATAATTATTACTCCATACCATGTGTCTAATATAAAAATGTGTTGTAAGAAATATTTATATTCTCGTAGGCTTATTCCTGTGCCAATGGTGGGTTTCAAGGAACTGTTGAGAAGATTGAAGGTCCAAGATCAGATGACCAAACAGCATCAAACTCGATTAGATGTAAGGTTTCTCATATTTATCATGACTGGCTGCCGTTGACAAAGGATGTGCTGTTAAACGAGCCTCCCCCCATGCTTCCTGTGTGTTGAGAAGTTAAACTGGAACTATGTGCATGGGGCTGTTACTCTTATCACTACTTCTTAAAACATTTCTTAATTACATCTTCTGCCCAAAACCAGAGCGGTACATTTAGGCTTTTGGTTTTATGGGTTTTTTTTTTCCCAGATCCAAGCTTGCTGTGTTGTTACAGGCTAATTCAAACCAGCTGAATTAAGTTGCACTGTCTCAGATTCTAATTTGGGCACACAGTTTTCTGATGCCTTCTGAAAATACAAGTTGTATATGAAAATAAATAGAAACCAGAATAGTAGGGGTCTAGTGAAAAGCTTTCTGAAAGCATCTTTGGCGAGGCCACTCAGTTGCTGGATGGAGTACTGTTTTGAAACTCCTGGTTTGAAATCAGGACTAAAGTGTTCTGTTACCAGAAACTCTTTATGATTTTTAACTGACTGCATCTCCTCTTCAGATAATATCAGAAGATATCAGTGAGCTGCAGAAAAACCAAACGACAACTATGGCAAAAATTGCACAGTACAAAAGGAAACTGATGGCTCTTTCTCACAGGACATTACAGGTAACACGGATGGTCTAAACAACTCGTTCTGACACGCAGTCTCTGGTGCCAGAGCACAAACTGAGAGGGGGCAGGGTGACCTGTGCAGTCTTGTGCATGAAAATGAAATTCTGACTTAATCTAAATGGTATGACTTTAAGTAAGAGGCGGAGCTGTTTGGTGCGCAGGACGTCTTACTACTTTGAGAACCTTCTCTGTCACTTAGAAGTTACGGGACTGCCCTGAGGTCTCAGAGCAGCAGACGACATGACAGAACAAATCCGATGAGATATGTGCTGGAGGAAGGACAAAAAGACATGTGGATGGGCTGGTGGGGACAGAGGTGGGCAAAGCTTGCTCTAATGAACCTCAAAGGTTTCTTTTATAGGTGTTAATAAAGCAGGAGATCCAAAGGAAAAGTGGTTATGCCATTCAAGCAGACGAAGAGCAGCTTCGTGTACAGTTAGATACCATTCAGTGTGAACTTAATGCACCTACACAGTTCAAGGTGAGTAGTTCATAGAATTATACCAACAACTGGTTTTTTGCAAAAAAATCTACAAAAGAATGTAAGTTTTCCTGTGCATGTACATATGTTGTGGAAAGCTCTTGCAAGTCCAGCAGTGTTACTAGGTTGTAGCACCATGCTCTTTGCTGCGTGACTGATAGGTATTTAAGTATTTTGAGTTCTTAAAAGTGTTGGAGTTACTTGCCCTTTGCATAGCTTAAAAATAAATAAATAAAATAAATTAAAAATGACATGAGTGGCAGTGCTTCTTGCCCTGGTGACTCAAGGAGTGGTACATGCTGGAGCTCTGACAGATGTAGATGATTTGCATTTGATGGAAGCCTGTTTTTCTTCCCAGGGCAGACTGAATGAGCTCATGTCCCAAATCAGGATGCAAAACCACTTTGGAGCAGTGCGGGCCGAAGAGCGCTATTACATAGATGCAGACCTCTTGAGGGAAATCAAGCAGGTAAGTCTTACTGGGTAGAATCCTGAGATACTCTTTGAACTTGATAATTTAACCCAGCTCTGCACTAACGTGGAAGGTGCATCTAGAATGTCATATATTTTTGTAATTGTTTGATGATGAAGTCCTTTTTATTGTCGTCGGTGACAGTGCATCAAGGTGTTGTACAAAGCCAGTCTATGGGTCTGGGCTATTAATGCAGAAAATGCTGGTTTTCCTTCCAAAGAAATGGTGCCAGGCTTTTCAATGTGCCAAGGCCACCGGACATGGCAGCTCTGAGAAATATCACTTAAAATCTGTGAAGTTGAACTATGGTCATGCTGGTTTTTAAACTCTCTGTCTGCAGCATCTGAAGCAGCAGCAAGAAGGCCTGAGTCACCTAATCAGCATTATAAAGGATGATTTGGAGGACATCAAACTTATAGAACATGGGCTGAACGAGACCATTCCCATCAGAGGAGGAGTCTTCAGTTGACAGGGTGGGTGCTGCTGGGCTTACACAGAACACGTTCCTCGAATTCATGGGTCACCTTCCAAGGCTAAAACTGTTGAGGTAAAATAAAAGGCATCTACGAGCAATGGGATTTTGGCTGTTATCTTTAAAATTAGCAAAGCCTCTTCTAAACTTTTGAACTTGACCTTTGGAAGGTTTCTATTTTATAAAGCTGTATATGCTTTAATAAAAGAGGGAAAACTGAATCTGTTCAGATACTGGTTTACTATAAAAATATATATGTACTATTGTACATTTTCTTCTTTTTCTTTTTTTTTCCTTTCATTTTTTTACAACAGCATTGTCCTAGAAATGCAGTGCTGAGGGAATTGTTCCATTTGTGACTTGGTTTGTGGCAAGCTTAGCCCGCTTCCATGTTTTTGTCAAAACAATCAAGTAACATCATTATGTAAGCAGCTAATTGACATCATTACAGATAGGTATGTTGCTGTAACTATGTTGGTCTCTGCCATACCAGTAGTTTACTGAGGGAAGCTGCAGATGTTTCCAGTGTCTGTCCTTCCTTTGGACTGTAAGGATCTGAAGGTTATGTTTTTATTACTTTACATATGTGAATTATACAAAGCTTTGCTGCCCCTTAAGTAACAACAGAATGTCTAGACGTTGTCTTCTGCCTTTTTTTAATTGCTGGAGAGTAATAAATTCAGTCTGACTTTGTAATAATTTGTGCGTGGCGTTGGATTTTTCTCAGCTACAGCAGCAAAGCAGTGAAACTGTTAAGAACTCCAGGTTAACGTGCTTCACTCTCCTCCAGGCACTGCAGGTAACAGCTTATCAAACCCGATGCCACAGAGCTGTTGGCAACCTCAGTCCCTAAACTAAAACACAAGGTCACATCCCTTCGATGCTAAACTGGTACCAGCTTCTGCAGAACAGGTGGCTACTACTTGCGTTGGAGAGACAGCTTCCCCCTGCCCCAAGTTGTCTTTTTTCCTTATTACAAAGGTCATTGGAAATAACTGGAACAAAAATACATTATTTTGTATTTCAAACTCCTCTGCAGTAGGAGTTTGTACAGCAGAAACAACTCAAACAGGGTAGAGACAATCACTTTGGTCATTAGCCACCAAAAAAAAGATAGAAAAATAGGAATACAGGGTCAGTATATTAGAGCCTATTGTGCATGTGAGAGAGTTTGGTTTTGGAAGCATGGTTCCATCAGTTGAAAAAAGTATATGTGGGACTGTAATTAAGAGAGAAAAGGTTTAGTTTATTTTTGGAAGCAGGGTTCCAATTAATAAAGTATTTGAAATGTGCAATACAGGCTCTAGCAGAGGCTCTTCCCAGAAGTGGAACGAGGCTAGAATTCTCTTTCTCGAGGGCCAGGGCAGCAGTCTAAGTGCAGTCTCTTACCACTGCACCTCAGCTAGAGTGACTGTGCTGCACGTTTGAGATAAATAGGTGTTGTTTTCTTAGCAAACATTTTATCCTTCTCCCCACCCTCAGCTTTTTTAATGCTTTGAAAATAGCTTGAACACGCAGCGTAGGCAGTCTAGCAGAGGGCTACTCCATGTACTACCCTTGCCTTTGAGAAAGAACTGCACTGAATAGATTTCTTGAAAAAGCCCCTCTGCTAGAGGCAGTTTTGTGTGTTTGAGATGGTAGATGATAGTTTTTTCAAGTGTTGCTCCACTGCATGTATTTAGTAGCTTCAAACTTAGTTGCAGAACAAATGTATCCCAACAAAGGAAGAACAGAGGGCAAGTAGGTATTACCCTTGAAGCAGCACTGCTGCTAATGGAGTTGACAAACTCAAGAAGACATGAAGAGCCCAGAACCAGCAATCTAGAAAAAACTGTTTATTAAAAGGAAAGCTGTGCTCCAGCAGTTGCTACCTGGTTAAAACATCACCTACAAGGAATACCTGTACTTCCATTTTACTACACTTGAATAGACCTGTAACACTTCATCTCACGCATTGACAAGATAAACTAAGTTGCATCTTCCCTTTGAGCAGGAATTTCTACTTCAAACACAGCTCCCTTTTGAAAAATGGTCAGAAGTGAAGTGCAGCTTCTCTATTTTACCTGTTACCTTCCCCAGCTGGATCACAGCTGTTGGCTATGGTGGTCACTGTTTTCAACCAATAAGTGCTACAGGTACCTGCCTTCCCTCTCCCTCCTTCGCGTCTGCAGTTAGGGAGGAAGCAGTCCCCCTGGCTTGGCAGACAGTCAAGGCATTGGACGTGGCAACCCTCACCATCTTCTCACTACTGTGACTGTCTGACGAGGCGGAAGGCTTCTAGGAACTCGTTGAAGTCGATGTTTCCATCCTTATTGAAATCAATGCTGCGGACTAAGTCGTTGATGCCCTCATCCGTGAGTTCAATGTTCATGTGGGAGCTGAACAGCTTCCAGGTTTGGCGGAATTCTTCAAATGAGATGAGACCTGTGGAGAAGGAAGGCACAGCCACCTCAGCACAAGGTCACCAAGGGCACTGCTGACAGTCAGTCCCTGCTCAGCATACAAGGAGGAACCCCTGCTCATCTTTGATCTCTTGTCTCACCCCTACTTCCTGCATACCCTAAGGAAGGAAATAAATAACTGATAGTCTCAATTTCATGTGCTGCAACTAAACTTCTCAGCGTGCAGAACACTGGCTAAAATACAACTTAAAGCAGTAAAAAGACATAATACAATTTGGGAGACAAAGATGGCAAAGACTCTTTCTCAGGACTCAAAATTCTCAAAGTAATTCTGTGGACATGACTGCTCAAAAGCAGGTACCTCGCAAGATCCTGCTCTCATCACAGCTTTTGTTCTGCTGAACTCCTCCACAACAAACAATTATTATTTCTCTACCCAAACTGCACACGGTCCTTCAAAATGTGTTGTGTTTGTGGAAACTTGCAGTGATACTTCAGAAGCTCTTGAGGCAATAACCTCAGCTGAGGGAGGAGAAGGACCCAAGCCAAAAGCATTAAATAAAAACCGCCTTCTTAGGTACTAAAAGGAGCCCAAAAGTGGAGTGGATTACAGTGCAGTGACCAACACCCCCTGCACACCTCCTTACCTGAATTATCTTTGTCTATGATCCTGAAGATGGTCTCCAAGTTGGATCTGTTCCGATAAATGACTTCCAGCAAACTCGTCTGGATGTGCTGAAAAACAACACGGTGACACTCGTTCTACCCTTCTGCCAGCTCGCTGCCTTCTCTGAGCAGTTCCTGCCGACCTTCCCGTAAATACAAATGTTTCCTGCTCTCGAGAGTTTGCCAGCAGTGAAGGCACTTGCATTGTGTGTGGCTCACGAAACAGGTTTGCCATGACTGGACCCTCTGTGCAGCTCTGCATTGTAGCACATCACCAACCCCTCGCTTCCAAACAGCTTTGCCAGGCTCACAGAGAAGACAGTGACTTTGGCTACGCTTTTTAACCGTTGCAGAGTTGGTTTTCCTCTGTGCAATTACAAAACTGCGACTCAGAGAATGGAATATAGTTTTCCTACTTAAAAGCCTCCATCCAAAACTACATCTAGGTTTTGATTTCACATGCATCATCTATTTCTACAAGGGACTGAATGCCTCTGGGGTGCTGTGGTTCATGTAAGCTTTTCCCCTGACTTCAATGTGATTTTAGATTATACAGGAACTGGACTGTCCGCTCTCCTTTCCTACCATACTTGGTTCCACATGCTGGGGATCTTGTCAGCTGCTTTGCTTTGTGCTTTGATGGAAGGAGATGAGTCCTTACCTCTTGGCTCCGCTGCTCCACGGCCAAGTCATCAAGCCAGGACTTGTACTCCAGCATGCCATCCGTCGTGCTGGGCACCAGCTGCGGTCTCAGCATCCTCCAGGGCAATCCCAGGTGCAAGACTGACTCCACTGCTGTCGCCCAGTTGCTCAGCGTGATCCTTCCTGAAAGGAAAAGGTAAAGCCATGGAAACCTTCGAGAGATGGGCAGCTGAAAGCACACGAAGGCAAAGTAAAAAGCCTAGAGCAGGACGCATACCCAGTCTACCACACTGCTGACAGCAAGTGTCATTCCTCCCTGGCACATGTGAGCACTTTGGTACGTGAAAAAACCCTACATGGCTGTGCAAACATCAGCCACTGCAGGCACAAGTGCACTTACTGTTCCCCCAACTGCAGCAAGCTTTTGATCAGTGCAAGAAATCAGGGCTGTGGAGCTGCAGGCATCTGAACAATGAGAAAACACTAACTTTGGACATTTCATTACAGATTTGTGGCCTACAGCTGGGCTCACCCTGCAAATCATGGCCTACACAACTGCACTAGTGCTTCCAGGAACATGGAAAAGCCCCTGGTTTCACAACTGCTGTAACAGCTGAACTGGACTTTTACAAGCAAGTTTGCTGCCAGGGAAGAAAGCAAGAAAGCAGTTCTACCCTCAAAAAAGCAGTTCTGCCAGCCACTGCGTCCATTTTCTCCCCCAGCCCACAAACAGACAGATCTCAGCAACACATCTCAGTCACTGCAGCAGCAGAGCACTCCTAGCAGCAAGAGAATTATGAACTCTCAGCTTCTTCCTTCAGACTCTGACAGGCAGGTGCCACAGAGGACATCCAACACTTTCCTCTTCCCAGTGATTTAAAACTCCAGGGTTGAAGGAGCTCCAACGATCAGCCAGCCCTTCCCAAGTGACACGTGACAGACATGTGCAAGGACGTCTTTTCCAATGCTTCATCAATACTCCTGTTCCAAAGGGTTCTTCTAGTGCCAAGCCTAAACTGCTAAACATAAGCTAATCACCTCTTGCTTCTCCAACATCCCCTCATTTTAATGCCAGGTTCCCAACAGAGACACTGAATAACAGCAAATGGGACCGACACTCTGGCAAGGTCTGACACAGCCTCCCCCTGTCACAGTCACTGACAGCTATCAGTGAGGAATCTCCCAGTCAGCTGCACACTCAATTTAGCTGCTTCAACCCTGTGCTACCAGAGAATCAACTCGAGCGTCCCTCGGCTCAGACTTACCCGTATTGTCCTTATCGTAGGCCTTGAATGCGCTGATGAGGGCTGAGGTGTGAGCAAAGAGCTTTTCCCGCAAGGCTCGAAAGGCTGACTCCTCTACTCTGCTGATTCTGGAGGATGCAGAAAAGAGAGAGGTACGTTAAGGACTTGCCACAGAACACAAGAGAAGCTGCACCTTCCCACTCCTCCAGCCTGTACATGGATTGCCCAGACCTTCACCCGACAGTTCTGCATGGCTACAGCTGCATGGCAATGCTTATGACAAGGCACTGCATGCCTGGAGCACAGCTCCCCGCAGCTGATGCAGCGAATCCCTGCA